GAGAAAATACTTCTAGTAAAATATAAAAAAGAATATAAAAAACTATATTAGAACTTGCCTTATATATTAATAAACTAAAATAAAGAAATATTTATTATATAATATATTTAGTTTATTTCTCCTCTTTTCTAAGCTATAATAAGAAATTACTATAGACTTTATTATAGAACTATTTTTTTCTAGGTTTTATACTAAAGTATATAATTTTATATTTATTATTATTAATAAATATATGAAAATAGTATAATATATTCCAATTACTAAAGAAATCTCGGCTTCTGAATTAGTAGAGCTATTTATATATTATATTATTAAAGACTTTAGTATACCTATAAATATAATCTCTAATAAAGAATCTGTTTTTATAAGTAAGTTCTAGTTAAGTTTATACTTTTACTTAAAGGTTTAATAATAGCTAAGTATAGTATTTTACTTATAAACTAATAAATAAATAGAGAATCTAAACTAAACTCTAAAATAGTACTTAAAATATTATACTAGTTACTAGTAAAATAATTAGATAATAAAGCTTACTTTTATAGAATATATATATAATAACTTTATATATTTAATAATAGGAATTTCTTTATTCTATATATTATACGAATTCTATTCTAGTATTAAACTATATATTAAGAATAATATTTCAGAAAAAGAAATACTAGTAATATAAGAAAGAATATAAAGAATTTAAGTAAAATAGAAAATACTAGAGAAATAATAGTAAGAAGTAATAAATATATAGAAAAAGTATTATAATAAGAAATATATTAATAAGAAATTTAATATATATAATAAAGTTATACTTTATATAAAGAACATTTAATAACTATAACCTAATATAAAGCTAGTAAATAGATATCTTAGCCTTTTTAAAATTCTAGAAGTTATAGGAATATATAGATAAATATATTACTTGAAATTATTACTATTATATTAGATCTATAATATTTTCTATATTTCTTTCTTAGAACTATAATACTTATAAGCTAGTACTATAATAGAACCAGAACTAGTCGAGATTAAAAATAAAGAAGAATTCGAGATAGAATCTATTATAACTTATAAAAAGAATAGAAAAGAAAGAAAGTATTTTATTTATTAGAAAAGCTATTTACTAGTAAATAATATATGGGAATTACTAAATAATCTAGAGAATATAGCTTAAGAATTATAAGAATACTTAGAAAAGAATAATATTATAATATTATTAGCTAAATAGAAATATAAAAGATAAATACTTTTATTAGGAAACTATTAAAAACTATATATTTATTTTTAGAAAAACTATATAAAAATTATTAAGAACTCTAAAAACTCTAATTTCTATATTCTATAAATACTCTATTCTTATAACTACTTTCTATTATTCTTATTAGGATTCTTATTAGAATTCTCTTAAGAAATAGGTAGTAAATTAGCTTATAAAGCTATTAGCTATTAGTAAGAAATAAGAAAGAAATAAGCTTATTTAATATTAAAGAATATTAACTATATTATTAAAAGTATTTTATATTTATACTAAGCTAATAAGAATTACTTAACCTATTTCTTAAATTATTAGAGAAATCTATTAGCCTTAAATAATAGCTTTAATACAAGAAATATATATTATTTAGTATAGAAAAAAGATAGTAATAGCCTTTTCTCTTTTAAGTAAAAGATAGGGAAAATACTTATATATATTAATAGCTTAAAGAAAGCGGTTTAATTATATTATATATATTTAAAGAACCTTAAATAATATTAGAATAGGAAATAAATAAAAGAAATTATAATTTATAGAATTATATTTCTTATTCTTAAACTAGTAATAATTATATATTAAGTAATTATTACTCTTAATATAAGTAAAATCGGGAAACTTAGTAATATTCTTGAAATATTAAAGATAGTAAAGACGAATTAAGAATATAAAAGTATTAGCTAAATAGGTAGTAATAGGCTAATAAGTATTAAGAAAAGTATTTATCTTAATAAATAAAGAAGTAAAAGAAAGAATTAGAAGAAAACTTAAATAAAGCTTAAAAAAATAAAATAAGAAATAAAAAGAAACTAGATATAATATTATAATTAAGAAAAGAAAAGATTAGTTAGTAAGAAAAGAGAGACCTTTTTATAATACTCTTTTCTCAAATAGTAATTATGAATTCAGAACCGGCTTTATATTAGAAATATTTAGAAAATTCTAAAAAAGGAATTTATAAATAAACCAGAAAATCAGATTAACTTTTCTAAGCTCTTGGGTCTATAAAGTAATAATTTATTTATAAATAGAGACTAAGTTAAAATTTATAAACTAATTAGAAGACTAGAAGAGCTTCTTATCTAATAATATATATTATACCTATATTACTTTTATAAGAGGGAATTACTAGAAGTAATTTATAGATTAGCTAGATAGGATTAATAAACTATATTTTTAAGTTTATTACCTAATATAATAATAAGATAATTATAAGAAGTTTTTAGAGAGAACTAATAGCTAGAAAAGTTTTAAAGAACTATTTATAAAGCTATTTATAGTTCTTTTAGGCCTCTTGGGAATAAGAGCCTAAAGAAAAAGTTAATATAATAGATATATATAATAGTATATAAATAAGTATTAGATATTATAGATCTAGTTTTCTATTTTAGGTAAAGCTTATAATTAGAATTATATAAGTAATCGGAATTATATGAATTATATAAGATTATATTTCCTAGTTAAATAAAGTACTTTATAGGCTTAGCTAAATACTAGGGAATATATAAAGAAATACTTCTAGTTTTAGAAAGAAGTATTAATTAGTCTTTATTAAAATCGATTCTTGAAATTAGTTATACTTGCAAGTATTACTTTATAGCTTACTTATTTTAACTACTTATATATTACTCTATTATTATATATCTTATATATAGCTAATTTATTATTTTACTAATATCTTTTTAATATATTTATTATAAAAGTATTTATTAAAAGAATTAGAAATAATATAATTACGAATTCTTTTATAAATTATTAATTATAGGTTTCTAAAATATAAGAAATACTTTATTAGTTTCTTATCTAATATTATAAATAAGATTACCTGGCTTAATATAATATTTAGCTTAAATAATACTTGCTTTTTAGCTTTAATAATTATAGAAATACTATTTTCTATAAGTTTATTATATTAAATATAAAAATAAAACCTTTTTTTTAATATTATAGTATATAATTATAATATAGATTATTATAATTCTCTATTATAATTTCTTTTCTAGTAATATCTCAGATAGTATTAAGATTATATTAATTAGAAACAATTATTCCGGTATTATCTAATTAAATTATTTTAATATATTATATATATTCTTATTAATTACCTTACCTAAAAGCTATTATTTACTATTATTTACTAGCTACTTCTTCTTGAAATAGTTAATAATTTTAACTAAAAGTAATTTCTATTATTATATTATTTTATTTCTAAGATATTAATAAGCTTTCTAATATTTCTTCTTTCTCGAATTACTTTCTAAAGCCTCCGAGAACCTATTTATATATTTAGCTAATTTAATAATATATAAAGAATATTTAACTAATATAGACTATTATAGTATTAACTTCTATAACTACCAGAAATTAATTAACTAGCTTATTAAGTATATAAATCTTATTAGTTTCTTTTCTAGCTTTATATTATAATAGATTTTTAAAAAATTAATATTAATTCTTTAATTAAAGTAGTATTTTAATAAAATATTAATATTAGAATATTAGAAAATAAGGTTTTATATGAAATTACTAATATTTATTATATTAAATATCTTATATTAATATAAATACCTATTAGAAAAAAAAGAAAAAAAAGTATTTATAATTCTTATTTAATTCTTTAGCTATTAAATTATAAAGGCAATATAGCTTTATAATCTTAATAAAGCCCGTAATCTAATTATTTTTCTTTATTTAGTATTATATTAAGTCTAATAATAGTTTGAGCTTATAAGTAATATAAATATTATATATTTTATAAATGGCTTAATAGAAAATAAACCTCTTATTAAATGCTTTTTAGAATAGTAGTTATTATTTATTTAGGCTATCTAGTATATTAAAGCTATAAAGCCTTATTAGGAAGTTAATATTTAGGGATTTAAAGGCTAGTATTTTAAAGAATATACTAAGTAAGAAGATATATAAGCTAAGAATAAGTATTAAATTAAAAATAATTTCGGAAATAAAGAACTTATTATTTTAGTATAGTTAGTATAAGGAAGTAAGGCAAGTAGATCTATAGGAACAGAAGTATTAGATATATATATCTTTTATACCGAAATAGCCCTTAGTATACTTGCTAGTTAGCTTAATAAAGAGTCGAAAGCAGTCTGTATTCGGGTTCCGGATTAAGGTTAGCTCGAGATATTAGAAGCAAAGTTCTATTAGAGCCTCTGGTTAGTTATCTATAATGCCTGTAAGCTAGTAGAAAAAGATCTTCTAAATTCAAAGCTAGCTAATCTCGAAGATTATCTATATTATAGCCAGAAGTATACGGGCAAACTCGGCGAGATCTCTAATATATATTATTATACTCGCCTGCTTAGTATTATCGAGTTCCTTTTCTTTTACTATAATCTTAATTACCTAGTATCTCGTTAGTAATAGAGTTAATCCGGAGGAGGATTAGTAGGGCTACTTAGTATGACTTATATCTTGACCCTATTATTAGACTATCTTATTAATCTTTTTACTTGTCTCGAGCTTATATACTAACTAGTACTATTTCCAGAATATTTCTAGCAAGCTAGTATATCTGATTTCCGGTCGCCGCCGCTCCCTCTTCTCTTATTACTGGTTACAGACCCAGCTTAGGAAGCCATATAAGAACGGAGCATTAATCTTCTGGAAGTATTAGGTTAGATCTTTTTTAATAAAAGTATAATATCTAGAATAATGAGGTTAGTAAAGGGCCTTGGTACTATTAATATATATGATCTCTCTTACTAGATATAGTATTCCTTTACCTAGTCAAGCCGTTCCTATATCTTGGGGCTATATTGCTAGTACCGGAGCCGCTGTATATTGAGGTTTACTGCTATAGTAAGATAGTGTTCGGGAGGGTACCATACTTTATTATTAAAAAGTAATACATTATCGTCTATATCGTTATCGATCTCTGATAAGCTATCCGTATTAGCACCGCTCGTAATATCCGTCTCGTCGTCGTCGTCGTCGTCATTACTGCGGTCGAATAGGCTGTCTGTATCGGCATCCGTCGTGCTCTCGGTCTCGTTATCCGTAGACGGGAGATCTTTATTGTGTCGTGACCAGGCCATGACCCGCCAAAGAGAGCGTTGGCAGACGATGGGTGAGGGGGGAAGAGGCGTGGGGAGAGCGAATGACTCGTGCGAGACTCGAAGATGGGAGAGAGTGTGTAATCGATGGTGAGGGGAGGGTTTCGAGAATGAGAGTGTGGGGGTGAAGGGGAGCGAACGGCGGGGGGTGATGGAGAGAAAAGAAGAGGAGGGACCGGACGAGGGACGAGGGAGGTGATTAAATGCATTTTGGGCTGTGGGTCGAAGGGTCGCTGTTTTCTGGGGGTGCTCTGCTGAGTCCAGAAATGGAAAACAGAGAAGAGGATGAAGAGGATGGGCGCAGGGGAAGCTCAAGCGGCCGCATTAAATGCCTAAGGCTGCACCAGGCTGCCGGGGGTGTGGTGACCGGAGTTGGGGTACGGGAGTAGCGAGAGGTTGGTTAGCTGACCCCCAAAAGCAGCGCCCAAACCCCCCGAATCCAGTAGCTCGCTAACCGTCTCACTATATATAGAAGTAAATTATTTTAAGAACTTTATATCTAAAGTAATAAAAAAGCTTTAAAATAAAACATATATTATAAAAAATATAAAAAAAGATTATAATATTTATAAATATATAATAATAGTTATAAGATATATAAAAGCTATAGAAATAAATAAATTATATTAATAGCTTTTTTATATATAATAATTTTAATTTAGAACTTTAATTATATATTTCTATTTTAAATAAAAGAATACTAGTATTAGAATAATTTAAAAACTTAGCTAATAAATAAGAAATATAATAAGATATAATTATAATAAAATATTTTTATAATATTTTAATTTAATTAGTTTTATATTTTAATACTAAAGATATAATTTCTAGATATTTATAAAATAATAATTATTAAAATACTATTTCCGAATTTCATTTTTATTAATTCTATGTGATGTGTGCAGGGTCGCACGTGACTTAAGGGCATGTGACGAACCTCGGATATCGCGGGTGTCGATCAGGGAGTTCGGCAGCCCTTCGATATCCCAACCAACCACTGTTTACATCATATGCATTAGGCTTATAAATCACTAATTATATATATGCCATCGGAGCCTCCTATTTAGAGGGGGCTTCCCTGGACCTCACAGGAGGGACAGAGATTAGTTCTGTACTGAATTTAACACTGTGGTTTCACAACACACTGATTCATTCTATTGTCTTATTGCCTACCAACAAACACCTCACATTCTAGTAATAGTAATAATTTTAATAATTTTAATAATTTTAATAAAGAAATAATACTAATTATAAATAAAATATAAGACTTTTTTATTATTAAAACCCAGATATTTCTTTATAATAATATATAAAGAAAATAAAGAAAATAAAACTTATTTTAAATAAAAGTATAATAAGTAATAATTTTATTAATATTACTAAAATAAGAAAACTAATTTAATATTTAATTATATTAATATATTAGAAAATTATAGAAATAAATATAAAAAGAAATTAGAAAATAATAAATATATTATTATAAAAGAATTTATTTTTCTAGACTTTCTAGTAAATAATATATAATTTCTATAAAATAAATTCTATTTAGCTATTTCTAATAATATTAAATCTTATATTTATAGAAATTATAATAATATTTTCTTATTTTATTTCTAGATATTTCTAGATATTTATATTAATACTAATATTATAATAATTCTTGAATTTATAAAATTTATTATAATAGGAATTATTAAAATAATTTCTTATAAAATTAAATATAAAATAAACGAGATTTCTTATATATATAATTTAAATTAGAAAAGCTAATAAAATTAGCTTATATTAATATAAGATATATATATTTTATTATAAAATAGAAATAACTAAAAGATTATAAAGAAGTTTTTTATAATATTTTCTAATTTATATTTTTTTAAAGAAATTCTAAATAAAATTATATTTATAAAATAAGTAATTTTTCTTATATATATATATATTTAATATAATAAATAACTAAAAATATTTTAGTAAAATCTTTATTATAATATAAGTTATAAAATAATTAAAACCGGGCCTATTTCTTAATAATAAATTTCTTTAATAAATGTTTTTAATTATTAATTACTAAAATTTTATAATTATTATAAAAATATATAATAATTTAATTATAAATATTATAATTTTTTATTATATTCTTAAAATAATATATTATATTTTTCTAAAATTAAAAATAATAATTCTAGTTTAATATATATTAATTCCGGAAAATGAAATATATTTCTTTTAAAAAAGCTATATAAATATAAAAAAATATAATTCTAAATTATATTAATTTTATTAATAATATAAATATTTTTTAGAGCTCTAAATAATTAAAAGAAAATAAATCTAATAATTTTATAAAAAACTAATATAAACTTAAAAGAACTTTAATATAATAAATAATATAAGTTTAATATTATTAGTATAGCTATTTCTTTAGAAGTTATATATATAGTTATAAGATATAAAATACGAGATATAAGTAATAGAATATAAATAATAAAATATAAAATATAAAATATAATTATATAATCTTATATTTTATTAGTAACTTAACTAATAAACTAGATTTCTTTAGGCTTAATAAATTTAGAAATTATATATTAATATTATAATATTATAATTTCTATTTCTAAAAAATAACTTTACTAATTTATATAAATAGTATTTTATAATTATATAATAATATATAATAGGTATATATAATAGTATATGGATAGGTATCAGATATTATAGATCTAGTTTCCTATTTTAGGTAAAGCTTATAATCGGAATTATACGAGTAATCGGAATTATATAAATTATATAAGATTATATTTCCTAGTTAAGTAAAGTGCTTTATAGGCTTGGCTAAGTACTAGGAAATATATAAGGAGACGCTTCTAGCTTTAGAAAGGGGCATTAATTAGTCTTTTATTAGAATTAACTCTTGGAATTAGTTATACTTATAAGTATTACTCTATAGCTTATTTACCTTAACTACTTGTATATTATTCTATTATTACATGCCTTATATTCTAATTAATCTAACCTTTAGAGAGTAGTTTATTATGAGGTAATTAAGCTATTAATAGACAAAATATTAATAGCTAGAGTATTAACTAGGAGAAGCGCCTCTACTATTACTAGAGTAATTTAACTAGGTATTTAGGGAAGCGCCCAGTCAAGTACTCTTTATATTACCTAATTAGGAGAAGGAAATAGAACTCAAATATTTCCAGAACTAGTAAGTAGAATAATAATAATAGAGAAATTAGCGGCGGCTCGCTATTATATTACTAAGTTAGAAATAGAGATATAATAAAGAGAAGATCTAGAGAAGCTAGAAGCTTAGATCTATTATCTTAAAAATATTCGGATATCCGGTATAAAACCCGTTATATCTCCGGTAATATCCTTAGTTTAGAAGGCTTCAAAAACCCGAGAACTATTTACTTACCGGGAAAAGAGTATTAAAGAAGTCCAGGACTTCTTCTATTAGGTAGAGTTAAAATAGTATAAAGATAGCAGGATTACCTAGGCTACTAATATAGTAAAAGTTATATATTATACTTCCTATTTTAAGGATATAGCCAGGAATATCTGGAAATATAAGAAGTAATTAATAAGTATTAATACTATAAATTGGGAGACCTTTATTAAATTTATAAAGGATTTTATCTTAAATCCGGAGAACTATAATAATAATACCCTTATTAAATTCAAGAATACTAAATAATGGCCAGGCTAGAGTATCTAAAGCTTTATGTTTTACTTAAATAGCTTATTAGATAACTTGAGATATACGGGTTTATTATAAAAGCGGAATAACTTATTTAGTAATTTGAGATAAGAGATTCGGGACGAGATTAATTATTAAGGAAATATTTTATAAAAAAAAAGAAAAGCTTATTTCTATAGCTATAAGAATTAAGAATAATTTAAACCTATTTACTTAATAAAAATATAATAATAAGCTAATAGAATAATAAAAGAAAAAAAATAAGAAAAAAGAAAAGGGAAATAATAAAGAGAAATAGAAGAGAAATATATTCCTATTATAAGGTTTATAAAACCAGGGTAATAAAGATATAATAATAGGGTTTAATATAATACCTATATTAGGATCTATAAAACTAGATATAATTTGCTTTACTTACTAGAAAAAGGATTATTATATTACTACTTGCCCTAATTAAGGGAAACCGACTTATTATAACTATAATAAGTCTGGCTATAAAATATATAAGTATTTAGAACTAAAGAAGCCAGGAAACGAATATATCCTGTAATAATTATACTTATTTATATTATAGAAAATAAGGCCCCTAAAATAAGAATAATAATTAAGATTATTATTAAGATAATAAAAAATAAATAAAGAATTAAAGTATTAGTAAACTCGAGTATAAAGGCTAATTATATAAAGAGGAAATTAGCTTTAGATATAGGTATTCTATTAATATTAAAAGTAACTTCCTTATTCTTATTAGAGAAAAAGAGGATCTATTTATATAGAAATTATATTCTTGGGATTATTATTAAGAATATACTAGGGAACTAAAGAAAGGCTAATATATACTTTATATTATATAATTTTAATCTGAATTATATTAATATAATATTTGAATTCCTATAGTTTTACTAGATTAATTTCCTAATTTCCTTTAAAAAAATAATATAAAAATACCAGATTTAATTATAAAAAATTAAAATTCTAAATACTAGAAAGTTTACTAAAGTAGTAAAGTATAAAGTATATGTTTTTCTATTAATTACCTATTTTATAATAAATAGCTAAAAAATTATTACTATTATTACTAATAGGATAGCTATATTTTCTAAGAAGTATTAGGATCTTTTCCAAGTATTTTCTATAAAAACTATAGGTATATTACCCGATTATTATATAATAAAGTATTATATAGATCTAGAACTAGGGTTCTAATTACTATATAGTTCTATATATACTTTATTAAAAAGAAAGCTTAAAGTTCTTCGGGAATATCTTAATACTAGTCTAGAGAAGAAATAAATCTATTATTTTACTAGCCTAGCTAGTATCCTAATTATATTTATTCTAAAGAAAAAAAGCAGCCTATATTTATATATTAATTACCGGAATCTAAATAAGATTATTATTAAGAACCAAATACTATTATTACTTATTAGTAAGATTA